AATAGTTTGTTTTAAAGAATATAGATATGTACAACATCTTAAACTAAATGGTTGGTTATTCCATAAAACAGATACGTCTGTATCAAGAGATAGTTTGTTACTGGTTGCAATAAATTTTACTATAAACGTTTCTATGTATTCATTCTATTTACATGCCATAAAAAGTTTTAGACATAAATTACCTTATTTTTCATATTGCACGATTTTTTAAGTTAGTGAAAACAGTCAATTAATAAATCTATAAATAAAATTAACAACCGTAATTCAGACAGCAACTTCTAATACACATTTTGGTTGAAATAAATGATCCATGTAGCTTGTTAATTAGTTTATTACTTTATGACCCCAATCAAGTATCAAAACACCACATTTTTTATGTAACACTTATGTAGTTCAACGTTTTCAAACATTCTGATCAATCAACCATAGCAAAAAGATGACAATACTTTCCCCCAGTTTGACTGTATATACAGGATACCAGTGCACTAATGTTGTATTTTAAAAAAAAAACGATTAGAAATATAGACAGTGTTATTTAAATGTTCACATCACATCCCAAGTATTTATATCGTCTAGTTCTATCGGGAGCAGATCTATCATTCAGTAATCATAAGTTTATGGACCTCTAAAATCTTCGCTGCATCCACGGCACAGATACAATACAATGCTGATTTTTATTTTTCATTTCGGCGCCAATGGCTCGGCCTTCAATGCATACTATCAATTAAAGGTCAATATTTGAACTTACGCGTTTAATCAAATGAAACAATGTCTAAAATGAGATCCCCTTCAATAACCAATTGTCATCTTGTAGTCTTGTATAGAGAGTATAATTTATATTGTACATATTTCATCTTTTTTTAGCAATTCAAATCACTCTTATTTACCAAATTTTATGTCGAATTACATGATAATCATACATACTCCCTCAATGTATATACATGTAAATTTCATTAACTTTTTATGTAATTTACAACCACTTTTTATATATTTTTCATCCACTTTTATAATGTATTTATTATGCTGACCGTAATGTATAATTTACATGCTTCTCGAAGGGGTGTTTTATGTAATAAAATCTATCTATCACGGTTGACCTCAATACTGATATGCAAATACATGTAGTTGATGTTTTTCGGCACCATAAATAATTTAGAAACTAATCGTTAATTTATTTTCGCTACTAAAAACTAAAAAACTCCAAATATTTGAAACATTGACGGTTATTTATTAGGGCTGTGTCGATACAGTCCATTTTCGATACGATACGTATTGACGATACGGCAAACCGATACGCGATAGGTATCGCGATAGGACAACACGAATTATGCCCAAAATAATCTGAAACTACATTCTGTTTCAAGACGTTTGAGATGGGTAAGCATCAGGGTCCTTAATTCATTTTGAAACGAACTGGCCAGAATTGGGTCAATATTGAGGTCCCGTAGGATATGGGTTAATTATAAGCTCCATTCCCTTTAATATAACTATACTTCAACAAAAATAATTCTTGGTAATTTGTTGTGGAGAATGTCGTATTTTAATATATGTGATTACCACACAAATAACGACAGGTACACCTTTTGAAAATTTTCCATATTTAATTCACGTACCATCTTGAAGTTCACGTCCGTAATATTCCAGAATAAATTATTTACTGTCTTCGTTTATTGAATTCGATGAAACATTCGCGTTTCATAAGTAGATGATCTAAAATATTAGCATTTTTCAACTATTGCCAGTATCAGAAAATGCTGTAGTCAAAATAAGCTAATACGGCACCATGGCATTTCTTCATAACACAATTTGTAGTCTTTGTCTATCTGGTAACTAGTTACGTAACTTGGCAAAAGTTTTTATTCATTCATCAATTCATAGACACACCGCACAATTGTCACGTGACAACCATACTTGAAATTGCTTTAAAATAAAAATTCATTACGATTATGATATAGCCTTCAATAAAAACAATATTTTTAAAATTAAGCCTTTGTCAGAATGTGTATAAAATAAAAAAACAATCATAACGGTAAGCGCTATTTAGAACTGGTTTATTGACCTAATTCCAAGCGATATGCCACGTGTCATTGGAATTCTACCAGTAAAATGTATCATTAAATGACTGTTTTTCGGTGTATTTGGTGTTCTATCAGGGGATTATATTCAATGAAGATTTACCTAACAACTGGTCAGTGAATCCATTAATGTATGATCCAGTTATTATTTTAATATCTGTCGGTACCTGGAATTCATACCGAGTGTGGAAGACGCTCGATTGGCAAACCATGCTGAGATCGTCTTCTTTCGCCACGTGGGTTTTGTGGTCTTTCTTAACTGAAGAATTTTTTAAACGATATATTACGTATCGATATAAATATCGCTGGAACGTATCGACACATATCCGTGTATCGATATATCGACACAGCCCTAGTATTTATCAGTTACATGTTGTTAGAGAAATGCGTGGTCTAACATATAAACGATAGATCAAGGTCCATATTTTTATTTCATTAAATGCAACTTTATAATATATGGTACGCAATACAAAATGTTGTATTTTAGCTTTACTGATGTCTTTGTTGTACATGTATTTGTTACGTTTCTCCTGATATATTTGATGATGGATTTCGAGTTTGGAACGCCTCCACGTCTTCTCAGCTTTCCTACACTCATGTTTCGCATTTTGGAGATCGGCTGTGAACCATTTGGTATCAGGTCTAACAAAGGTGCATGAACATCAAGTACACTTTCAATGGCATTGTTAAGGAAAGACCACTTTTCATTAAGTTCAGGAACTGATCCAAGTTGTTCGCTAATGTTCTGCAAATTGACGTCCTCTACAAACTGTTTGAGGTCAATATTACGACACTTCCTATAGAATAGTGTAGTTTGTTTAGGTTTAGATATATTAAATCAACAAAAATGCTGAAATGATCAGAAAAGCAGTGGTTCTTACTTGGATATTGCCGATACAAGTGCATGATGATTTAGAAATGACCAAGTCTAAAGTATGACCTTGCTTATGTGTTCGTTCCTTAAAATACATCTTTAAGTCGTAGGAATCGAGAAGGAGCTGGAATTGTTTTGAATGGTGATCATTTTTATTGTCCACATGAATGTTAAAGTCACCTAGAATGATGGGTTGATCAGATGTTATTAGTAGTCCTGAGATAAAGTCAAGGAATTCACTCTAGAAAAATTTGTTTTTGACTGATGGTGGAGGTCTGTAGATGATGACTAGGCCTGCTATTAAGGTTGACAATGAGGTCAATGTGTTCAAAACTAGAATAAGTGTCTTTAATCTGATCAGAACTTTGTGCAGAGCTAATTGCAAAACATTTGTTGTAAACTAATGCCAATGCCAATGTGATGATGATTTTCAGATTTTAGTTATTATATTATAGTTTCAGGGAACCAGTTCATTTACTGGCACAGTATCATTTTCATTCAGCCAAGTTTCAGTGATCACAAAAATATCAATGTTTTCATCTAGTATATATTGATTTAAAGGCAATGTTTTATTTCTCACAGATCTTGCATTCAAAAATAGTTTAAAAATTAAGTTACATTCATTTTGAATTGGTGCTGCCACCACTGCTCTCATGAAAGGTTACTCTCAGGATGCTACTAGAATCTTGGGCAGATGGAAAAGCAATGCGATTAGATCATATATAAAATTCCCCACCTTAGTTATGTAAGATGTTGGTATTGAGATGTGAACGACTGGAAAAAAGGACATTGCTAAAGCTGTGGTATCAGATGCTTAGTTTTAGTATATCCCAAGCAGGGGTGGGGATGTATTCTTTCTATTATATAATTTATATTGCATGTACATGTACATGTAGTACACTCTAATAATTGTTTTGCAGTTCTGTATATTATGTCTCATTTTTTTTTTAAAAAGGTTAGCTTAGGTTACCATTTCTTTCGATGGTTATGTTAATTGATAAGTATGTGCCTATTCTTCGAAAAATTCAGAATGTAGACTAACCTTTCTGTTAATTATTATCGCTTTATGTTATGTAAATTGTACCCATTCTTTGAATAATGCATAATGTAGACTAGCTTTTCTTTCAATCATTCTTGGTTGATATCATGTAAATATGTGTTCTTTCTCTGACAAATGCATAGCCTTGTCGAGCCTTTCCTTTGATTGTTCTTTTGTTAATATTGTGCATGGTCCTGTTTACGTGCAATGTGCACAAAGTAGGCAAGATTATGTTAATATTACTAGACATGACAAGTATTAGGTGTCTATTCTTAAGGCAGGCAAAACCTTTTTCGTTTAGTCCATGGGTTGAAATCAAATAATATTATGTGTACATTCTTTGAATTACATGTATGCCCAGGCCAGCATTCCTTTACTTTATTGTTTATTTAGCTAATTATTACCTGTGTCCATCCTTTTGCAGGATGCACATCTAGGCTAGTTGTGATGTACGGTAATTATTGATGTGCCCAGACTGTGAAATATGCATGTGTAGACTACGGGTTCCTTTTAAATGTGTTATTGTATTGCTATCAGGGAATTAATAATGTAGTTAAGTGTTGTTGGTGTGATGTGTCTTGAGTTGGGCACGACATCATGTAGAGTGATGTGTATGGCCGGGCTTATTATTTTCATTCAGCCCAACTCGTTCAGAAAACATGATATCCTGGAAATACTTGGGGAAATTATAATTTAAATTTTGATATGCTTCCTTTCTCATCTCATGTTTTCATTTCGTCTTCTTGTATAATAAATGACATGTTACACCAACACTTGTGTTTGTTATTCATTAAAAATGTGTGTGGAAGGCGGGGTCCTTTGCTAGGAGCACAAATATTACATGTGTATCACCTGGATTATATTTGAACAAAGAATAGACACAAAACACTTTCTCAGTGCACACGGTATTCTAAAGACAAAAGCTATTAGTGTCCCTTGGAAAACTGTTGATAGGGTGGACTACTGGACATTATAAATACATTTGCATATACAATTCTTAAAACAGACATACCTTGAGAATACATCAGCACTTAAAACACATCCTATAATATTACCTAGATGTGGCACATTATTAACATAAGGTAAGGCACTAGCAATTAGTAGATTTCTCTCTCCTTCTTTTGGTAATCTAAAAATTTTACACAACCATATTATACCACCATTTTTAAGACGAGAATTAAACAACATGCAGTTAAGCAAGATACACCCACATTTTGCATGAGATGGACAGAGAACAAGCTAAAAGATAGGTTGCCAGGCAACGAAACATACACCCACAGCAGCTAAGTCGTCCGGGCAGTCAACAAGTGTTGTCACATATTTTTTCTTTTGTCAGTAATGAGGACATTTACAACACATGAAAATCTGATTGCAAGTTATAACCCATGTAGTAATTATCCGAAAACATTAGAATTGTTTTGATTGCTTGTCTCATGACCTTAAGCCTGCCAAATACTATGCAACGACATAGGCGATTTCGGTCGCCGACGATGAAAAATCAAAAACTCCACTAGTGTGCATACTCGGTCGCAAGTGATTTTTCGTCGCCAGCGATTATTGCAGGGATGTTCGCCGATATCAGACATGTTTGATATGATCGCTCAAGTCATCGCTTCGTCGGCAACTCAATCATTTTTTGTTATTCTTCTCATGTGACATAATCACACACAAGGTTTCCCGGAATTTTTGTTTCTGTTGCTCGGGTAATCTAACTTAGGCCTAACTAATTGAAATTAAGTTTGCAATTCTGGCACTTATTAAATGTGTGAGCTGTCGAATATGGTAGGCACAGTGGATTGTGCCGTTTATATAGCAATATACTCAATAATAACAGCCTATAGGATTCATAGATGGTAATTAGAATGGCCGTTTTTTCCAGTGCCTGTAGCGAGAAAACGGAGGGTGACAGTCACTCGCTCCCCTTTGCTTATTGGTTCATCAATGGTTGCCTCATCTTGGTTGTTTGTTTGGTAATAAGAGGATTAATTATATTTAGGATTCTCTGCAATATTTCGGGATTCATCCTCACGTAGCCTGTTTTCTATACACACAAGAGTCGCCCAATTTGAGCTCGTTACTTTGAATACTACAAACGCACTGCAGTCAACTGGCGTCGTACTAAGACGGCTATGCCGCCGCCTAATCAGCATGTACAAAATAATATTAATTGAAGTATTCAACACGATGACGACTAAAATGCATTTAGATACATGTGTCGCATAGTGTGTGCCTGCCTTTAAACAATTTATATTAACTTTAGCCTCTAGAGCGTCCACAAGATTTTTCAAAGCGATCAAGGGCCATAACTCTGGTACCAATCATCGGAAATCGGTGAAAATTAATAGGCTTCATCATCTCATGACCTTAAACATTGTTTATAAATTTAAAGTCAATCAGATATTAACTTTAGCCTCTAGAAAGCGAGAGAAAAATGGGGTTTAAATTCCACTCAACACAAACCAGGTCATTTCGGGACTGACATATGGTTCAATTTTATTTCAATGATTTGCTTGTGTGTGGGGGCGTTTTTAGCAGTGGGAGGAAACCGACACAAACTACATTTCGGGACTAACATATGGTTCAATTTTATTTCAATAATTCACTTGTGTGTGGGTGCGTTTTCACCAGTTGGAAGAAACCGGAGGACCTGGAGAAAATCCATGAGGTTGGAGAGGCAACCCTACTCCTTGTCATGTACAACTGCGGAATCAAAACCATGTCAGTTAACTCAATGACAGACCTTATGATACAGTGCACAGGCACTAACCATTCTGCCATCCAACCCCACTAGCCTCTAGAGCGTTCACAAGGTATTTCAAAGTGACCAAGGGCCATAAATCTGGCAGTATCATTGGAAATTGTTGAAAATTAATAGGATTCCGGCGTCTCATGACCTAAAACACTTTGTATAAATTCAAAGTCAATCAGATATTAACTTTAGCCTCTAGAGCACCCACAAGATATTTCAAAGTGATGCAGTAATTATCGGAAATTGCTGAAAATCAATGTTTCTTCATCTCATGACTTTAAACACTGTGTCTAAATTTAAAGTCAATCGGATATTAACTTTAGCCTCTAGAACACCCACAAGATTTTTCAAAGTGATCAAGGGCCATAACTTAGGCAATAATTTTCGGAAATTGCTGAAAATCAAAACAATTCTTCACCTTATGACTTTAAACATTGTGTATAAATTTAAAATCAATCAGATGTCAAGGGCCATAACTCTGGCAGTAAATATCGGAATTCACTGAAAATCAATTGGCTTCTTCGTCTCATGACCTTAAACAATCTGGTTAAAACACTGATCCTATTTCGTTTCGTTTTTATAGTTCAAAATTTCGTTTTACTTGTCTTTACTACACTTGGATCTGGAAGACTTGTTACCTAACTCGTGTTCTGCTTGAAATGAGGGGTCAGCCAATCAAATGGTCTGTCGAATCAAGTGTTTGACCTTTTTTGCTCGGAAATGTGGGTAATCCACTATTAACATCAATGCTGATTGGTTAATCAAATCTCTGATGTCATAGGTCAAAACTTGGTCTTTTGACCCCTGACGTGACCTATCGTTATAACTTGTCAGATCTTCATGCAGTAGAGGCCATCGAAAGTAATAAAAAAAATCGAAACGAAATATAGATCTGTATTTTTAATCAGATTGGACCTTAAACACTGTGTATAAATTTAAAGTCAATCGGATATTAACTTTAGCCTCTAGGGCGGCCACAAGATTTTTGAAAGTGATCTAGGGCCATAACTATGGCAATAATTTTCGGAAATTGCTGAAAATCAAAACGATTCTTCATCTTATGACTTTAAACACTGTTCAAGGGCCATAACTCTGGTAGTAAATATCGGAAACGTTGAAAATCAATAGGATTCTGCGTTTCATGACCTAAAACAATGTGTATAAATTTAAAGTCAATCGGATATTAACTTTAGCCTCTAGAGCACCCACAAGACGCGATGACAATATACGACGACATTTAAATGTGGGCGTATAAAAAAGCGATTTTCCACACAATCAGGAGCCATAATCCAGGAAGTTAAGGTCCGATATGCGCAAATATCAAAAGGAACCAAGATCTTTGGGTTATAAACATGTATTTTAAGTTTCATCAAAATTGGAAAACAATTGTGCCTACTTGAGGGTCCACAATCTTGGTATTATGTTTACACTATTTGCATATGGGGAGCAGCCATTTTGTCAGTCAGTTTCGGTCCGATTTTCACGAAATTCGACCTCAACAGTCATTATGGTGTAACAGTAATATATTTAAACATTCTTTTTTTTTTATTGGATAACAATCGTAACATCTAGAGAGGATCTACAAGCTAAAAACACGAATTTCCAACAATCAGGGTCCATAATCCAGGAAGTTACTATCGGATATCCACGAATATCGAAAAGAATCAAGATCTATGGGATATAAACAAATTTTAAGAGCCAGTCCACGAGAAAACCATGCAGAAGGTTCGAAGGTGGGGGTCGGCCGATTGAGTTCATATTTACAGGGTTTGGTCGACCCATCGAGCCTACTCCCCAGCCAAAATTACCGCTTAAAGAAATCAACCGTTTCCGAGATACAGCCCGATTACGTTTTTTGACCGATTTTCGGCATTTTCAGGTCAAATTTCGACCATTTTTGTAGTATTGCTATAGCCATTAATCGACCAATTGAGAACTAGGTTTTGGTTGGTGATTATAGTCTGGGTCTCACCCTACCATAGTATAATAGTCATCCACTGCAACCTCTCTTTCCGTAGGTGTCATGACACTACACAAAAGATGTGTCTGCAGATACCTGAATTATACCCTTTCTTTGAATTGTGATAACTCCACTGGAGCAGGGTTTGTGATAAAAATGAAAATCGTTTTATTTACAGCTAGATCTGTCCTATGCTGTTTTCTAAATGTCGGGCCAGGAATATGCCCAAGCTGACATAAGGCCGTGTTGAATTGATTCCTTGTTTCTCCTCGCCCGCGCGCTTAGGTCGAGGACCCCGAAAATCGTGCGCTTACGTTTTTAACACCCAAAAAAATATTAAAAAAATTACGTTAATAACATCTAAAAAAAATTCTACCAAACATCAGAAGTTAATTCTCGTTGTTTATTCCTCGTTGCGAATTAAATAAGTAAGTGCAGGGGGGCCGCACTACACGCAAAACAAAAATCTACAAGATAAACCTGCGGACAAGACAGAAAATAGGCATTGCACCGAATAAACAAATATCAAATCAAGTGAATGGATCCGGTTGATAATACACATGTAGGGGCCCGCATACTATGGAATAAGTTACACTGTATATGATTGGATGAATTCCGCAAAATGGCGCGTGTAGCAGTCATTTCGGCTAATGAGAAAGCATATTATAAACTGTAAGACAGTCGCTAATATTCAACCGGGAACCTGAATAATCAATTTTTTCATTGGCTAAAATTATAACACATGTCATTATTATTCAAGTATTACCCAATCATATCTTGTATAATAAATAACGCACGCCTTACAAAATGGTGAGCTATGCCGGGCCATAGGTAAATTCGCGTACCGGTTGGCCTAATTTATTGATGTTCAAGGAAATAATAGTGGTCCCGTTCGTTCGTTTCTGGAGTTTAACGAACGAACGAACGGGACCACTATTATTTCCTTGAACATCAATAAATTAACGAAGGAACGGGACCACTATTATTTCCTTGAACATCAATAAATTAGGCTGACCGGTACGCAAATTTACTTATCTCGACTCGACTTTGGTGTGTATTCCCAGCACTTTCACGTTCGATGATATTGTCGAAACCATCTATAACTCAACAAGCAAATCAAATTTCGTCTAACTGGAATGTTTCCATTGTATTGTAACACAAGAATACGGAAAATTTATATCAAAATATGGTTATTTCATTTTTTAAAAAAGTTAAAAAAAGAAGCCATTTGTTACCAAATTTTAGTTTGTTATTAAGTTTATTTAATTAAATAAATATTATCTTTGTTTTTATTCTAACCAATAATATAACTAGATTATTTATAATATTATTAAAAATGGTACACAACCCTCAGACTATATAGGTATTATGCCAGACCACTTTGTGTTTTGAAACCCACTTTGTGTTGTGTTTACCGCACTACCGCACATGATTGCCAGAGTGGTGGCAGGAGAAACAAGGAATCAATTCAACACGGCCTAAAGATATGGTGAATATTATTCAGAATTTCAAAATTAATATAGTGTACTGAGTGTATAACTACCACTCATCCCGATTATCATCGCAAGTAATTTTTATGTTGCAAGAGATGGACAGAGAACAAGCGAATATCGAAAGGAACCTAGATCTTTGGGATATAAAAATACATTTTAAGTTTCATCAAAATCGGATAAAAATTGTGTTCTCTAGAGTGTCCACAATCTTGAAATTACATACTTTTACACTACTTGCGTATGAGTCGTCATTAGGGCGTAACGGTGATATATTGGAACGTTTTTTAAAATCGGAAAAAAATTGTGTCATCTAGTGGAACTTCAAGCTAAAAACGCGATTTTGCGTACAATCGGGGGCCATATTCCACGAATTAACTGTGTGATATGCGCGAATATCGACAGAGACCGAGATCTTTGAAATCTAAACATATATTTTAAGTTCCATCAAAATCAGATAAAGATTGTGACCTCGAGGGTGTCCACAATCTTGGCATTACATACCTTTACACATTTGCGTACGAGGAGCGGCCATTTTGTCCGGCAGTTTCGGTCCGTTTTTCACGAAATTCGAACTCCGCCATCATTAGCGTGTAATGGTGATATTAAAATGGGTTTTTTTTAAAATCGAATAAAAATTGTGACCTCTGGACGGGCTACAAGCTAAAAACGCCATTTTTTGTACAATCATCGGCCATAATCCAGGAAGTTAAGATCCGATATGCGGGAATATCAAAAGGAACCGAGCTCTTTTGGTTATAAACATACTTATTAAGTTTCATCAAAATCGGATAAAAAATTGTGACATTCAGTTTCCACAAGCTAAAAACATGATTTTTCGTAAAATCAGGGCCATAGTCCATGAAGTTACGGTCCGATACTTGCCAATATCGAAAGGAAACGAGATTTTAGGGAGATAAACCTATATTTTAAGTTTTGCTGAAAGTGGATAAAAAATGTGACCTGTAGAGAGAGTGTCCATAAACAAATTGTGGACGGACGGACGGACAGGAGCGACGACAATATACGTCCACGCACGAATGTGGGCGCACAAAAATAGCGAGGTGTTCCTATTTTTATTACGTGCGGATTTGACATTTTATAAAGAAGAAAACAATGTTTTGATATCACGAACTATTGTTATTTTGAAAGTTCTGCATTCATTTGCTGTCATATAATGAAGACACGTACTTTTGAAGGAATACTACTATTATGAATTTGAAGCCGAAGCAGGATTGGCAAGCTTTCATTTAATCAATGTATCACCAAAACACATAATTTTGTACGAATATTAACATAAATCTGAATACCATACGGGAATTAAATATGAAAAATATCGAGGTGCACCTATTTTTATTACGTACGGGATTTGAATATTTTGTTGACACGTGACTTAAGTGGTATGAATCCGTCTACTTAAATAACCATAAGAGTTATGCCCCTTTATTTTTGGTAAAATATCTGACAAGAACATTTTGAAATCCCAACTGTAACTCATTTGTTTTTCAATATTTTCGAATAAGATATGGTTTGTCGATAGAGCAAACGCATGAACTTCAAATTGTACCCCTGATGACCTGGCGATTGAAGGTCACTGTCAAGTTCAAATAAGCAATTTTCATGGAAATTGGGTTTGTTTTGCATAATTGTCGATTTTCATCTGCTCTAAGTCGACTGTTTTTCAAACTTTTGAATTGAAATTTCTCATTTTTCATAGAAAAAAAAAAGGTTTAAATAATCAGGATCGACATTTTAGATCGAGAATTTGCGAAAATCCATATTCACTGGGAGACGCCATCTTGGATTTGTAGACTGGATACCAAACCACACCGAGACTGAATATTTTGGCAAAGTGGGTTGAAGGGGAGCCGGAGTTGATATTGACCCTTTGAATAACAATTTAGGCGATTGGGTACCTGAATAATCCGCCGATGTATCCCAATCAAAACTGAAGTTTTTGCTAACTTTCGACACAAATTTTCACACTGTTGCAAGTTAGCTGACAACGATTTTATTTCTTATATTGTTAGAACTGGTCAAGCTGCAGGGCTGGCCACGAATAAATTGATGGCGAGCAGATGACTGCTCACGCAAATTTAGGTTTGGGCGAGCAAGGCGAGCAATAAAAATTGCTCACGCAAAATGTTGTTTGCGTGAGCACACATTTTTTAACATTGTTCTAAATGAAAATCATAAGAAAATTGCTATTCCTGGCACAGAGCTTGCGGTAAACATGTGTGACCATCGCTTTCTGTTTTTGACAGTCATACTCTTCTTTAATTTTTAAAACCAATTTCCGTATGGATTTCTTCACCCCACGACATAAATGTGGATAGGGCAATCGGGTTTCCTTTGGCCATTATTACGCTTAGATTGAAAATTATATGACTGCACAATGGAATAAAAACCAAAGTTCTGATAAAATAAGAAATACCGATAAATATTAGTTTGAAACGTGTTCATTTAGCGTGAATGCCAAATGCCGGATGTAAACTTTCTTTACTTTAGACTCGATTATCACACGTTTGTTACTGGTGTTCGTAGGAAAACCAGTCATGACGTTCAGGTCTAAAATGTATTTTTAGTAACACGAGTGGCAAGTAACTTCATTAGCCAATCAAATTTAAGGAGGAAATGTCGCGTGCAGCTGGAGAATCTCAGTTTGACAGACAAAATTATGACGTTATTGACATTGTCAATATTTTGATTATTTTTACAGGTTTTTCTTAAAATTTTGAGCGAGCAACAAACTGCTCGCGTAAATGTAGATTTACGCGAGCGCGAGCAACTGCTCGCATCTCGTGGCAAGCCCTGAGCTGCAAATAAATTAATTCTAATTTTTATCGCAAACTCTGCTCCAGTGGAGTTATCGCGATCTGAAGATAGGGTACATTTCAGGTATCTCCAGACACATATCTTGTGTAATCTACTGACACCTATCGAAAATGAACTTTAACCGGATGATCATGATAATGTGATAGGGTAAGACCCCGACTATCATGAACAACCAAAACCTAGTTCACCAGGGTCATGGCTTGAAAATGGCAAAAATCAGCCGGAAAACGTAATTGGCCTGTATCTCGGAAACGGTTGATTTCTGAAATCGGTGATTTTGGCTTGGGAGTAGGCTCGATGGGTCGACCAAACCCTGTGAATATGAACTCAATCGGCCGACCCCCACCTTCGAACATCTGCATGATATTGCATGGTTTTCTCGTGGACTGGCTCTTAAGTTTTATCAAAATCGGAACCAGCTGTAGTCAGGCAAGATATCCCCACATTTGGAAGAGATGGACAGAGAACAAGCTAAAATGATAGGTTGCCAGGCAATGAAACATACGCCAACAGTAGCTAAATTGTCCGGGCAGTCAACAAGAGTTGTCGCATATTTTTACTTTTTCAGTAATGAAACATTTATAATACACTAAAATCTGATTAAGAGTAACAACTCATTAAGTAATTATCAGAAAATCATTATAATTTGTTTGGTTTTTATAAATTTCTGCCCCATGCTAACGTTTAGTATGCGAAATATTTAATATCATGGATTTAGCTGTTCAAGTTATCAAAATTCATTGAAAATCAATACACTTGTTTGTTTCAAGATCTTAAACTCTGTGTATCAATCTGAAGTCAATTGGATGATAACATAAGCCTCCAGAGCGGCACAAAATTTTTTCAAATTGATCAAGAGCCATAACTTTGGCAGTAATTATCGGAAATCGTTGAAAATCAATAGGATTCTTCGTCTCAAGACCTCAAACACTGCGTATAAATGAACTGCGTATATTGATTAAGTAGTCGTCTTTGGTATCAGGATATATGTTTTCGGGGTGCATATTCCATTTCTGCCGTATACAACTGTATAAAATGATCACATATTTAGAATATTGCTGCCATTTGTGGCGGGAAAATGGGACGATGTGCCATTTGTGACAGGACATTTTCTAAACACATTACTGAAGTGAAAAGGTTTCTGAATCCATTTATGCTATGTAAAAGCTTGTAGCATGTTCCTGAAAGCCAGTACCAGATAAATAGCACATTTATTTGGTCGAGCGCGCTGGGCATAGTAAGCGCTTGGTGTGGTCGTGCATGAGCAGAGAGAGAGAGAGAGAAATGGGGTTTAACGTCCACTCGACACAAACTAGGTCATTTCGGGACTAACATATGGTTTAATTTTATTTCAATAATTCACTTGCGCGTAGGGGTCTTTAGCAGTGGGAGGAAACCGGAGGACCCGGAGAAAACCCACGAGGTTGGACAGGCGTGGCATGAGCATGATGGGCGCATGTCAACTATCTTTAGTCTATAACTGTGATATATCCACACGTTTTTTTTAATCAGACAAAAATTGTGACCTCTGTAGGGACCACTAGCTAAAAACGCGATTTTTCATACACTCAAGCGCCATAATTCAGGAAGTTACAAACGGATATGTGAAAATATTGAAAGAAACCAAAATCTTTTGGTTATAAACATGGATTTCAAGTTTCATCAAAAACGGATCAAAATTGTGACCATTAGAAATATCGAAAGGAAACAAGATATTTGAATTCTTCCAGTTATCCCAAGTTTTTTTATGTAACTATGCAGACGATTCTTTTCAGATGTCTACCTTAATGGCATCCACAAGTCACATGACTACAATTAGCCAATCAGAATCGGGAGACTGGTTGGTCAGACTCTCTATATATAAGGCTCTGCGTGTAGGTACATGGGATGATTTTACCTGTACAAATGTTTTGCATACGGTAAATATTAAAACAGAAAGTAAACATAAATAATAAATACATAGGATGGTTTCTATCTTTTAATCTAGTAGAATGTGAGTCCCCAGTTTTCCATGATTTAAAAGCAGCATCTATTTCCTCTTCAGTCAATGCTTTTGTAACCTATAAACAGATATTATTCATTATATATTTATATATATATATATCTATATCAGTAGGACAAAAGTAGTGTAGAATTTTGTTGATCTGATGTGCTACTTCGATTATTGATGTGGCAAGCTCTATATGACTAAAATATTCTGGTTCTCTGATAGCGCCACATCATCAAAAGATAGGTTGCTAGGTAACAAAATATACCCCCACAGCAGTTAAATCGTCCGGGCAATGAAGCATTTACAATATTCTGGTTCTCTGATATCGCCACATCATCAAAAGATAGGTTGCTAGGTAACAAAATATACCCCCACAGCAGTTAAATCGTCCGGGCAATGAAGCATTTACAATACACTGAAATCCGATGAAGAGTAACAACTCATAAATTAATTATTATTATTATTATTACAACACATTTATAGTGCGCCCTTTCATATAACATGTTCAGGAGCACCTTACAAAGTGACAATGTAATCACAAATAAACAACAAGATTATGGACATGTTAACGATTGTATACAGAGTCAGTTAAAAGCCTGATTAAATAAATGCGTTTTAAGTTGTTTCTTAAAAGAATATAGATATGTACAACATCTTAAACTAAGATTATTCCGTAAAACAGATGCTTGATAACTAAAACAGCACTGACCATAAGACTAAGAGACTAGTTGAAAAGTTTTGGGCTTTAAAAGTAGTTTATCTGATATTTGTATTGTTCGGCCAGGTGTATAAAGTTTTCTAAAAGATCTGAGGGATAAACAGGAGCTAAATTATTTAAACATTTAAAAGTAAGTAATAAAATCTTAAAATCAATTTGATATTTAATATAGAGATTGAAAAGGGGGGTGCCCAAGTTTAGATTTTGTCGTTGATACCGTGTGGTTGGAAGGTTTTTAATCTAATAATCCAATGTAATTCAATTGTACCTCTGCTGGTAGTAGAAGTATGAAGCTCAGGGTCTGTGCCAAGTTGTTTGATAATTTGGTAGTTGGTAGTCGAGGTTTCGACTAGAATGTCTCAGTAAATTGAAGTGGGAGGCGACTGGGGTGTCTCTTCGTTTCGCCTGTGTATTGCTTAAGACAAAGATTGCACGTAAGAAGGTATATTACATTCTTGCTGTGGCAGGTCCAGTTGTTGGGACATTTATACGTTTTGCCGGTCTGGGTGGAACGGAACGTAGTCTTTGGTTTCAGTGTGTTACAGTATTGACAATTGTCTAATTTGCATATAGTGTCTAGGTGTGTATAACTATTTCCACTGACTTGAGGTTTTCGTGTGTGGTTTTTAATGGTGGCTGAGGTTAATAGATCTTTTAGGGAGGGGTTCCGTCTAAAAGCTGTAAGGCAGGGAAGGGGGAAAGCCCTAAGGCAGTTCTGGGAGCAAAAGAGAATGTGCCAGTTGTCCTTAATAAGTTTGCTGATATATACCGAAGTAGGATTGAAATCCGTAATAAATACCGGGCATTAGGTGGCCTCGACGGTGGTTTTAGGAGTGAGGAGATGAAACCTCTCAATGGAATCGGCTTTAATTCTGTTGGATTTAATATCTCTTCGGTAGCCCCGTTGGAGATAATAAAGTTTCAGTTTGTCTGCATGTTTAATATAATCTGTGTTGCTTGTGCAGATACGTTTGATTCTAAGGAATTGGCTGTAAGGTCCCTTACGTTTGATGTGTGGCGGGTGGCATGATGTATAGGAAAGGTAAGAGTGTGTGTCTGTGGGTTTACAGTAAAGGTCAAATGAGAGTGTTTTGGTTGCAGGGTTAAAGCTAACCATCGTCACACTTTTTGGGACACAATAACTCTCTTCCTAATTGAGCTAGAATGTTCAAACTTGGTGTATGTGTTTATTAGGTCAATGCCTTGATGGAGTTCGAAGATGAGCATTTTCCGCTTAGGGTAAGCAGAGATAAGCAATTTGATTGGTTGATGCTTTGGGACACGATAACTCTCTTCCTAATTGGGCTAGAATGTTCAAACTTGGTGTATGTGTTGATTAGGTCAATGCCTTGATGGAGTTCGAAGATGAGCATTTTCCGCTTAGGGTAAGCAGAGATAAGCAATTTGATTGGTTGATGCTTTGGGACACGATAACTTTTAATTGAGCTAGAATGTTCAAACTTGGTGTATGTGTTTATTAGGTCAATGCCTTGATGGAGTTCGAAGATGAGCATTTTCCGCTTAGGGTAAGCAGAGATAAGCAATTTGATTGGTTGATACTTTGGGGCACGATAACTCTCTTCCTAATTGAGCTAGAATGTTCAAACTTGGTGTATGTGTTGATTAGGTCAATACCTTGATGGCTGTTTTATTTTGGATGGGCCTTGCATTAAGACACAATTGGAATAGTAACAAGATTGCCCCTGTTCACTGTTCTGTGTCTTATTACTGTATCATTTCTAATAGTAATTTATTTTTTTTTAACCCACTGCTTTCCACACCTAACGTTTAGTATACAAAACATTAAAATCATGGGTTTAGCTGTTCAAGTTATCAAGAATCATTGAAAATCAATATACTTGTTCCTCTCAAGACCTTAAACTCTGTGTATCAATCTGAAGTCAATCGGATGATAACTTTAGCCTTTAGAGCGTCACAAAGTGATCAAGGGCCATAATCCAGGAAGTTACGTTCGGATATGTGTGATTATCATGACCTTAAACACTGTGTATAAATTTATAGTCAATCAGATATTAACTTTAGCCTCTAGAGTGTCCACAAAATTTTTGAAAGTGATCAAGGGCCATAATCCAGGAAGTTATGTTCGGATATGTGTGATTATCAAAAAGATCTTTATGATAAAAACATGAAAACTGTGGCATGTAGACGGTCAACAATATTGATATTACCATATTTTTTACACTATTTGCGTACGAGGGGCAGCCATTTTGTCCCGCAGTTTTGGTCCGATTTTCACGAAATTCATACTCAACCACCATTAGGGTGTAACGGTGATATACTATAATAATGTTTTTTTAAATTGAATAAAAATTGTTTTAGCTACGGCATTTTCTGATACTGGCAATAGTTGAAAAATGCTAATATTTTAGATCATCGACTTATGAAATGCGAACATTTCATCGAATAAACGAAGACAGTAATTAATTTATTCTGGAATATTACGGACGAGAACTTCAAGATTATACATGAATTAAATATGGAAAATTTTCAAAAGGTGTATTCGTCGTTATTTTTGTAGTAATCACATACATTAAAATACGACATTTTCCACAACAAATTACCAAGAATTATTTTTGTTAAAGTCTAGTTAAATTAAAGGGAATTGAGCTTATAATTAACCCATATCCTACGGGTCCTTAATTGACCCAATTCCGGCCGGTTCGTTTCAAAATGGATTAAGAACCCTGATGCTTACCTATCTCAAACATCTTGAAACAGAATGTAGTTTAAGATTATTTTGGGCATAATTCATGTTGTCATCATATTGTGATACGTATTGGGTATCGGTTTGCCGTATCCACAACCTTAATATACCAGATGTTTACACTATCTGGGTAAAGGGGCGGCCATTTTGTCTGGCAGTTTTCATCCGATTTTCACAAAATTCGAACTCAATCAACATTACGGTGTAACGGTGATATATTTGAACATTTTTGTATATCAGATAATTGTGAACTCTAGAGGGACCACAAGCTAAAAACAGGATTTATTGTACAATCAGGGGCCATAATTCATTAAATTACGATCCGATATGCGCAAATATTGACAGCAACCAAAATCTTTTGGTTATAAACATGCATTTAAGTTTCATCAAGATCGGATCAAAATTGTGAGCTCTTTAGGGTCCACAACCTTGATATACCAGATGTTTACACTATTTGCATATGGGAGGGGGTGAGGTGTGGTCATTTTGACTGGCAGTTTCGGTCTAATTTTCATGAAATTCGAACTCGCCAAACAATACGGTGTAAAAGTGTAACAGTGACGACATATTCGAACGTTTTTTTTAAAATCAGATAATAATTGTGACCTCTTGAGGGACCACAAGCTAAAACAGGATTTTTCGTACAATCAGGGGCCATAATTCAGTTTCATTTCAATTATCTGGAAATTCAAATTCAACCTACATTATGATGGAATGGTGATATATTTAAACGTTTTTTAAAATTGGAAAAAAGAAATTGTGACCTCTAGAGAATCCGCATGCTAAAAATGCGATTTTTCCAACTATCAGGAGTCATAATCCAGGTAGTTACGGTGTAACGGTGATATATTCGAACATCTTTTTAAATCGAATAATAATTGTGACCTCTAGAGGGACCACAAGCTAAAAAGGCGATTTTTGGTACATTCAAGGGCCATTATTCAGGAATATACAATCTGATACGCGCGAATATCAAAAGGAAATGAAATGAAATGGGGTTTAACGTCCTACTGTTCTGCTCCTAAACTGGGCTAATGAAGACGGGCATACGCCATACAGTGTGCTATGAGGGAAATTTTGCCCGGGTAGCGGCACTATCGCCTACTCTTATATCGAATTCCAACTGCCAAGGGATCTTTTACGTGCATTCCAATTTATATACGGGACTTCGGCTTTTCGTCTCATCCGAAGGACTAGAAAGCTGTCCTTGTCAGGCCCTGCGTCCTGTATCACTGACAAGGGGGAACCACGCCAGAAAATCTGGATGAACTTTCTAGGCCAATGCAGGGATTGATCACCCGATCTCCAGGCTAGTAGGGCTGCAACGATTTACAACTACCTCGATTCGATTCGATTATCGATTTTAACCATTCGATTCGATTATTTTCGATTCGATTATCAGCTACAATAACCAGTAATTTTTCCTGTATATAATTCATTAAAAACAATAAAAACACAAGACTAAAATTCTCTTGAACAGGTTTGTTGTGTTTCCTGTTTTATGGGATATGTCAGTGTAGCATACTCGACAAGTTGCCACATCTTTAGAGTTTTTTCTTACACCAAAATGATCCCAAACTTTAGATTTCAAATTACCAGGTGGTCGAGAAAGTACGTCGTCTGCCATAATTTTACCTTCCAGTGTTTACTTGACTCCGGGTAATAATCGCTAAACATGAAAATATCCGAAGATAATGACCGGAATTATCAGCTAATGAGATCGTTTAGAATTTATATAACGATTATCGAAGCTATTGACCTAAATTAACATCCAATGAACATTCGGTACGTCACCAATTTTAAATAAATTAACTTTCGTCAGCATACGGAAATTGTTTTAAAGGGAGGTTACTCTGTTTTAGTTATGTTTTCGAGTGACATTCGTGTTTTGTTAACGTAAATTAAAAGTTACCTAAAAACAAAGTTTTTTTTAAATTTTAAGTGGACTTAATTGCTACAGGTCTTTCATTTTTTTTCATATGGTAAGGTATACGTTGTTTTTATTTGAAATTTAATTTGCAATTAAACCTAATCGAAATTTGAACGTTGTAGATCGTGGATCGAACCGAGACGGTGCACCGAACTGAATCGTTGCAGCTCTACAGGCTAGCAAGCCAGCGTCTTACCCACTTAGCCACGTGATCCCCGAATATCAAAAGGAACCAAGATCTTTGGGTTATAAACATGTATTTCAACTTTCATCAAAATCGGATTTACCAGATGTTTACACTATTTGCGTACGAGGGGCGGTCATTTGGTCCAGCAGTTTTGGCCCGATTTTCACGAAATTCAACGTCAAGAAACATTATGGTGTAACGGTGATATATTCGAACGTTTTTTTAAATCGAATAATAAATGTGACCTCTAGAGGGACCACAAGCTAAAAATGCGATTTTTCGTACAACCAGAGGCCATAATTCAGGAAGTTACAAATCGATATGTGCGAATATTAAAAGGAACCAAGATCTTTGGGTTATAAACTTGCATTTCAAGTTTCAACAAAATCGGATCAAAATTGTGGCCTCTAGAGGTTCCACAACTTTGATATACCAGATGTTTACACTATTTGGGTACGAGGGGCTACCATTATGTCTGACAATTTTGGTCTGATTTTCATGAAACTCAACCTAAGACAAAATTACAGTGTAACGGTGATATATTCCAACGTTTTTTTAAATCAGATAATAATTTTGACCTCTAGAGGGACCACAAGCTAAAAACGTTTTTTTTCTCGTACAATCAGAGGCCATAAGTTATGCATGAAAATAGAAAGGAACCAAGATATTTGGGTTATAAACAGGCATTTTAAATTTCATCAAAATCAGATGACCAGCGGCTGCCAGGCAGGATACGCCCACATTTTCGAGAGATGGATAGAGAACAAGCTAAAAAGAAAGTGATTTTTCCTACAATCATGGGCCATAATTCAGGAAATTACAATTCGATATGCGCAAATATCGAAAGGAACCAAGACCTTTGGGTTATAAACTTACATTTCAAGTTTCAACAAAATCAGATAAAAATTGTGACACTATTTGCGAACGAGGGGTGGCCATTTTGTCCGTCAGTAACGGTGTATTGGTGATATATTTAAACAGTTTTGTAAATCGGATAAAAATTGTGACTTCTATGGGGTCCACAAGCTAAAAACGCGATTTTTTGTACAATCAGGGGCCATAATTCAGGAATTTACAGTCCAATATGTGCGAATATCGAAAGGAACCGAGATCTTTGGGTTATAAACTTACTTTTCAAGTTTCATCAAAATCAGAAGAAAATTGTGACCTCTAGAGAGTCCACAACCTTGATATATAATATTTTTACGCTATTTGAGTACGAGGGGTGGCCATTTTGTCTGTCAGTTTTGGTCCAATTTTTATGAAATTCGAACTCAAACATCCTTAGGGTGTAACAGTGATATAATAATACTTTTTTTTAAATCGGATAAAAATTAGGACCTCTATAGGGTCCACAAGCTAAAAACGCAATTTTACGTACAATCAGGTGCCATAATTTAGGAAGTTACGATCCGATATCGAAAGGAACCGTGATCTTTGGGTTATAAACTTACATTTCAACTTTCAACAAAATCGAATAAAAATTGTGACCTCTATAGGGTCAACAAGCTAAAAACATGATTTTTCGTACAATCAGGGGCAATAATCCATGAAGTTTCGGTCCGATACATGCCAATATCGAAAGCAACCAAGATCTTTTGGAGATAAACCTATATTTCAAGTTTCGTCAAAATTGGATGAAAATGTGGGCGTATAAAAATTATTGTCAATACAATTTACAGATTGGGATATATTGATTTATTGAAATTATTGTCCAGCTATATTATATTTGCAGAAATCTACATGTTGTTGTGGTGCACGACTGTACAAAAGCAGACAATTTCCTCAACGTCGGCATTGGAATTTAAAATGTAACTCAAGTCTTAAAATCAGTCGAATTATTTTTGCTGTGAAGGACACCATTCCTTAGCTGCTCTGACAATTGTTGGCTGTTCCGTCAATAGAGGAACCCCCTCGTAATAAAAACTTGTGCTGAGGTTAAAACCATGCTTGTGCAGGGGAGTAAACCAGGTTACATACACTTCCCGACTATGGTCGGGTGCCACTCTGACAGGCTTTAATAAAATAATAGCTCAAGAAGGGTTAAGCCGTGAGACATCATGACTTTAAGATAATGTTTTCAAAAGAACTGTTGTCATTGTAGTACAGTATATTACCTTAAAACATGATGGACCTTCATTATTTGTTACTAAAAAAACAGCATCTTGAAAAGAAGATGTTGTTAACAATCTTTGACTCCATGAGGTAATATTTGAAAAATCTGAAAGAAAAAAAAACCAAAACTTTCATGATCTGATTTACACCCCCCGAAAAAATATTATATTTTCTGCTTAGGGTAAGCAGAGATAAGCAATTTGATTGGTTGATGCTTGGGACACAATAACTTAAGTTCTAATTGAGTGAGAGAGATGAAACTTGGTGTATAGTTTCACTACATCAATACCTTGACTAAGTTCGATAATGAGTATTTTCTGCTCAGGGTAAGCAGAATAATAAGCAATTTGATTGGTCCAGACTTAGAACATAATAAGTGAAATGTGTAATGGCACGTCAGCTGCAACCGGGCTATATTGCGCCAAACATATGGTGAATTTAACGAGACAAATTATTTAATCTTGCGTAAATAGTGCTGTGTTCAAATATTCATAACTATAGTTGAATTTTGGCTTATAGTGTTCAATTTGTACTTGCATCCAATTTAAATCTTAGTGTTTAATTTTGATTACCGAGCGTCTAATTATCTAGTGTTTAGTTTGTCGACACATGTTTAATAATAAGCGTCCCGCTTAATTAACACGACTGTTCAATAATTAGTTGGAAAGTTTAATTTCCTGACCCGTGATTAAAATTAGTCAAGATTTCCAATTACGCAAGGTGTTCAATTTTGCTGTCAAACATCCAATTTCACGTGCGATGTTCAGATATTACGATGTGTTTAGTTGTGGGTTATCGTTCAGTTTTGCTGCCAAATGTCTATCTTACCGCACGATGTTAGCTTCGCTGAACGGTGTTTAAATACTGTAAATCGCGTTTCAATCATGTTTGACTTTTATGATACATTTACTCCTGTACTCTTTTACACAGGGAAATTAGAACCACAATACTCTTCTGGCGGAAATGTATCTCGAATTGTTTGGACTGCACATGATGGTAGAGTGACTCTATCATCATGTCACTTTAAAACACAGTTTTAAAATCGCCATCGTGAGAAGAGAGGGCGGGACATTATGAAACAAACGCTAAATTGGGTCACTTTAAAACACAGTTTTAAAATCGCCGTCGTGAGAAGAGAGGGTGGGACATTATGAAACAAACGCTTAACATTTCACCGTTAAACCATAATAATGGTTGATTTTGAATTTTGTAAAAATGGGAACGAAATTTGTAGTACCATGGGTCGTCTGTTGCGTTCAGTTCATTTTTACGGTAAGTACGAGCTTACGTCTGACTTGAAAGCGCTTTCGAATCCCGCTGCAAGTTCTATTTATATCTTATTTCTATTTGTAAGACTGATAACCAAAATACCTTTATAGTTTGCAATTTAAAAGTCTATCTTTGCCGTAACTCAAGAGTAATTATTAACTATACACTCTTAATATAGTAAATATGCAAAACAATTTGAACACAGCATAAATATCTAAACTGTCTTATGCATACGTGTCCTTTAAAATGTTCTAGACATGCAGCTTTACATGACTGGTTGGAAATATAACCGCATATATATCGTGCAGAATATGTGAACACGCGTGTTCTCACTATACAACGTGGACTAACGCGTCCGTATTATTAACGAAAATATTTCAACATCCATAACATCGTGGCAGTATATCGTTTTGACATCGATTGTTTATGACAAATAAATACTGTTAATTTTGCATGTAAAATTACACTGAGGCCTGTTATGCGTTACATATAAGCATGAAATGTATTTAGTAGGTTTTATTTGATCTTCAGCGAAAAAGGGTCGTCGTTCTATAATAATAAAAAGAAATAAAGAGTTCGAATTATTAGTTTATTTTCACGTTTTGTCTGACACAATAGACATATTGTTAGCTTCTGACACATGTGTATTAATTCTACAAGCCTTCTGTGTTTATTGCCAGAGATAATCGCACTACCCTTCAACCCAAAATGCTTTCTATAGATCCCATATTATGTAATATAGGATTGGTGCAATACAAATGCTGTTAGTCTTAATTGCGAAGACATTTAAACAAAAGGATTTAATCAGGGTTGGGAGTCGACGTGTATACACGTAAATCAGATGCGTGAGAATTATCATTCGTGGATGTGTTGTCAGTGTGGGAAATACTGTTTTAAGTGTCACTCCACGAGAAAACCATGCAAAATCATGCAAAAGTGATAAGGTGGGGGGTCGGCACTTCGGATCCATATTCACAGGGATTAATCAGTCCGACTAGACTACTCGTTGACCAAAAGGGCCGATCTCAAAAATTAATCATTTGGGAGATATGGCCCTATAACGATTTTCAGCCTATTTTCACCGATTTTGAGTCAAAATTTGGGCATATTTAGAGCTATTTTTCCAGGCCAAAATAGGGACTGTGTGATATACTGATGGTAGGTGATGACAGTATAGGTCTTCAACTATTCAAGCATCATGACCAATTTATGTTGGTCCATGTCTCTGAGACATAGTATGGAAACTACTGATAGGCGTCGCCCATCACCTTGAAACTACCCTATCTTTGAAATTAATTATAGCCGATGGTACGGGTATGGGCAAGATGGGTAAACGATAATTATGTAGAGGGGTACGAGTGCTACCAAAATCAACAATAAAATTTTTGCCCAGTCGTGCCACTAATTGCAGAAAACATTTCAAATTTGTCCTATTTCATGTCCTGAATAGACTGAAATGGGCACTTTCAGGAGTACTCATTAGAGTGTAAATGAAAATTCTGCTGATTTGAATCACCTGGAATGAAAAATCCATGATTCACAGCTCAAACGAACCCGCTCAGGCAAAATCACATCAAGTTGGGATTGGTATCCAGTCTGAAAATCAAAGATGGCGGCGCCCGTGAGCCGGTGTGGATTTTCGCATTTTTTGACCATAAAATGTGGTAAATATGAAGACTATCCGTATGAAACTGCACACATAAGACTAAAGGATTGTAAGAAAGACATCAGAGCACATCTTACGGCTTGTAATGTAGCAGCACGAGACGTACAGTTGGAATGGGAGCTCCTCGCATATCGTTACAGAATTTTCGATACAGAATCAGTTCTTTTGGACTCAAAGACAATATGTCCTGCACATCGGTATAAAATGGGGTTGAGATGGCGTGCACCAAAAGGATGCAAGCATTCTCTCCATGAAATATGTGGAAAAGACAGGAGGCCGTATCGTGGCATAAACATGAAGACCAGTAAAGAAATATATATGACATGGAAGAAAATTATTCCGATTGGATCAGGTTAGTTTTTATTATTTACATCTGCTGCAACTAACGCGGCATGATATTCCAAACGGAACTGAATAATTTCTGGTGATTCGTGAGATTTTTTTCCCCAATAGGTGCTTTTACAAGTAGGTGGAAAAGGTGATTTTGAGATTATGATTATACATTTGATTTTATTAGCTTTTCAGGTAGATCTCATCATTCTTCTCACAAAACTTTTTACAGATTCAAAATCGGATGAAAACTTTTTTTTTTATTGAGGCTCAAAGTTGTGATTTTTGACTTTTCGCGGAAGAAAGGTTTTTCAACACATTGAACATAGTCTTAGTTATAATGGACCAGTTTTATGGAATTCACTTCCAAATAATTTAAACTCATTACATGTTCTCTCAACTTTTAAAAAATCACTGCATAATTATATCCAAAATGTTATATAACTATTCTGTATATTTAAATTTAAACCATTATCGGTTTCTGCATTTGATGTTATTTGGAATGTAAAGAATAGATTTTCATTATTCAGTTTCCTTGTATGTATAATATATGTGTATGTTTGTTTTGTCTATTGTCATTTAAGGGCAAAATTGTAAACAGGCTGCAAAGCCTAATTTTTCACCCTTTTGAAAATAAAGAACTTATTATTATTATTATTAATATGAGTCTAAGGAACTTGGAATACATTTTAGTTTTGGTGTTGAAATGACGTCATAACAAGGCAAAACTACGCGATTTATTTTTGACAAAATTGCTCATTGTATACCATTTTCAATTGCTTGGCGGGCGCACTTACCATGCTCCGATTGTTGATTGTAATAGCATCAAAACGACAATAAAACGAACTTTCAATCGGTCGGGGGTGCTATATTGACAAATCGCCTAAAAAAAAGATTGCGTGAATTGAAGCGTTCAACTTGCAAAAAATGCATGGTATTTCAAAATGCCAACAAAGCACCCCCGACCGATTGAAAGATCGTTCATTTATCTTTCTAATGATATTAGAATGAAAAAATAATATTAATAATGATTTTTTTTTTTTTTTTTTTTTTTTTTTAATGGGGTTTAACGTCCACTCGCCACAAACTAGGTCATTTCGGGACTAACATATGGTTTAATTTTATTTCAATAATTCACTTGCGCGTAGGGGTCTTTAGCAGTGGGAGGAAACCGGAGGACCCGGAGAAAACCCACGAGGTTGGACAGGCGTGGCATGAGCATGATGGGCGCATGTCAATCATCTTTAGTCTATAACTGTGATATATCCACACGTTTTTTTTAATCAGACAAAAATTGTGACCTCTGTAGGGACCACTAGCTAAAAACGCGATTTTTCATACACTCAAGGGCCATAATTCAGGAAGTTACAAACGGATATGTGAAAATATTAAAAGAAACCAAAATCTTTTGGTTATAAACCAATCAATGACAGACCGTATGATACAGAGCGCGCGTGCTATCCATTCGGCCATCCAATGGGTTATAAACATGCATTTCAAGTTTCATCAAAATCGGATCAAAATTGTGACCTCTTTGATATACCAGATGTTTACACTAACTGTGTATGAGGGGCGGCCATTTTGTCCTGCAGTTTCGGTCCGATTTTCAAGAAATTTGAACTCAACCAAAGCTAAAAGATAGGTTGCCAGGCAATGAAACATACGCCCACAGCAGCTATATAGTCCGGGCAGTCAACAAGAGTTGTCGCATATTTTTACTTTTTTTCGGTAATGAAACATTTATAATACATTAAAATCTGATTAAGAGTAACAACTCATTAGAATTTGTTCTGCCCCATGCCAACGTTTAGTATACGAAACTTTAGCTGTTCAAGTCATAAAGATTCATTGAAAATCAATATACTTGTTCGTCTCAAGACCTTAAATTCTGTGTATCAATCTGAAGTCAATCGGATATTAACTTTAGCCTCTAGAGCGTCCACAAGATTTTCAAAGTGATCAAGGGCCATAACTCTGGAAAAAATTATCGGAAATCGCTGAAAATCAATAGGATTCTTCGTCTCATGACCTTAAACGAAACTTTAGCTGTTCAAGTCGTAATGATTCATTGAAAATCAATATACTTGTTCGTTTCAAGACCTTAAATTTCGGTATCAATCTGAATTCAATCGGATATTAACTTTAGCCTCTAGAGCGTCCACAAGATTTTTCAAAGTGATCAAGGGTCATAACTCTGGCAGTAATTATCGGAAATCGCTGAAAATCAATAGGCTTCTTCGTCTCATGGCCTTAAACACTGTATATAAATTTAAAGTCAATGGGATATTAACTTTAGCCTCTAGAGCGTCCACAAGCAATTGTGGACGCCGGACCGACGGACGGACGGGGGCAACGACAATATACGACCACATTTCAATGTGGGCGTATAAAAAGCGATTTTTCGTACAATCAGGGGCCATAATTCAGGAAGTTATGTTCCGATATGCGCGAATATCGAAAGGAACCGAGATCTTTGGGTTATAAGCATACATTTCATGTTTAAACCCAATCGGATAAAAATTGTGACCTCTATAGTGTTCACAAGATGAAAACGTTATTTTTCGTACAATCAGGGACCATAACCCATGAAGTTACAGACCGATACATGCCAATATCGAAACGAACCGAGATCTTTGGGTGGTAAACCTTTATTTCAAGTTTCATTGAAATCGGATAAAAATTGTGACCTGTAGACTGTTCACAAACAATTGTGGACGGACGGACAGGGGCGACGACAATATGCGTTCACATGAAAATGTGGGCGTATAAAAATGACTGACAGTCCAAATTTTGAAGTAGAAGCCCTGTAACACTGGACTAATGACGGACAGACTTGACAACATGCCCTTTGGATGTTTGATCTGATGGACTAAATAGAACACAAACCTTTTAGTAATAATGCCATCATTAAAGGATATACAGTTCCAAATATTGCTACATCAGCTGATGATAATTTATCCTGTTAATAAAACAATTGTACAACATAAAACAATCTACAATAAATATGAATATGTAAATAAATATATATGATCGATGTACTGATAAGTTTAAATCAGTAAAACCCATTTATTTCTATTGTTTGTGTTATCCCCTCTTTGCCAAAACCTTGTGAACACGATAGATGCTTAAGTTTTTAACCCATTTAACCCTAGAGCCAATGAAGATTACATGTAGCTACCAACCCCTAAGCTCATTAAATCAGCAGGGCCCATCTCCCTAAGCCAATTAGTCGATTATTGTTAATCCTAATACCCTCTACAAAATTGCAAATAACTAAAAAAATATTTTCTATAAAAAGAAATGCTCTGTTACAAAAATGTACAGATTGTGGTGTTCTATCCAATGATATAAAATTCAATTGTACAAAGTGGTAATTATATTACTATAAATATTATTGAAAAGTCAGTTCCACTAAAATTATGACTTTTCTCTTTCATAATGGTACAATAATGTGAACAAGTATTCTCTAAGAATTTATTTTTTTTAAAAACATAGAACGCAAATATAGTCTCATGGCAGCAGTGTTCAAAGTAAATATAAATATAATATAACTTTTAAAAAAAAATATCATAAAAACTTCATCGCTATCAGCATTTCTGCGTTCGGATATATGACGGTAATTGTCGTCTTCTTTGCTTCATTGCGTCGAAAATAAAAATATATAGTTGACATCTTCGACAATGTAATATTCCTCTATGTAGCTTGTATCAAATCCTAAAAGTTTTGATTCAATTTAGCTTTGCAAAGTCTAGAATTATTATCCATAAGTTTGGTGGTATCGTCTGTCGGGAAGTGTGTCCAAGATGGCGTCCAACACGCTTGAACTCGGCTTGAGTATACTATTCTTCGCATCATAACGTCCCAAAAAATATATAAATAGTTGATTCCTTCGACATTAAAATCATATTCCGCGATATGTCTGGCATTGAGTAAATCATACAAAATCGGATTCCATTTCACACTCCATATCATAAAATTATCAGCCGTAAGTGACAACGTGAAAATATTGGAATAATGCCAAAGTCATTGACACGGTGTGAATGTTCACAATATACGTCCACATTCCAGCATTGATTGATATGGTACTTTTTAAAATGAAGAGAATGAAATATGAAATGGCTGTAATATAAGAGGCAAAGAAGGCTAGGCGTTGGGTTTGTTTTGCCAAATTTACAGACAAAATACTAACAAAACATGGGTGTGACACTGCCCCAGGAGGTCATGACAAGCACCAAAATAAATAGTTGCTGTCTTTACGGTATAAGGAATAAATATGCCAAGTTCCAAGATGATTCATTCAGAATTGCAGCATGTAGACTATAAATACACAAAATGAGTGTGGCTCTGCCCCGGGGGGTTGGATATGAAACAATACAAATAGGTACCACACTGTTTTTGAAATGACATCAATAGTTGCCGTCCTTTGGGTATAAGGAATAAGTATTCCAAGTTCAAAGATAATCCATTCAGAATTGTGGCCTTCGGGCGCTAAAGGCAAAAATTGGGCGTGGTTCTGCCCCTGGGGGTCGGGGCATTCACCAAAATCAATAGTTGACGCCCTTAAGCTATAAGGAATACATATGCCAAGTACAAAGTTCATCCATTCAGAACTCCAAGCTGTAAACGATAAACACAAAAATTGGGCGTGGCTCTGCCCCTGGGGGTCGGGACACGCAGTTGTCGTCCTTAGGCTATAAGGAATACATATCCCAAGTTCAAAGACAATCCATTAGGAATCGTGGCCTGAAAGCAACTCAAAGAGACACAAAGAAAAAATGAGTGTGGCTTTGTCCCTGGGAGTTGGGCAATCACCAAAAAAAAAAGGGGCATCCTTAGGGTATAAAGAATAGGTATGGAAAGTTTCAAAATGATCTGTTAAGAATTGCGTCCTGTAGATGACAAACAAATAAATACAAGAAATGGGCGTGGCTCTGTCCCAGGGGGTCGGGCATGCACCAAAAACAATAGGGATCATCCTTAGGGAATAAGGAATTTATACGAAATTTTTTCAAGCCAATCGTTTAAGAATTGTCGTCTGTAGGCAACACACAGACACACAAAAAGAAAATGGGCGAGGCTCTGCCCCTGGGGGTTGGGCATGCAGCCCAAACGATAGGGATGTTCCTTAGGGTACAAAGAATAAGTATGCAAAGCTTCATGATGATACATTAAGTAATGCGGCCTGTAGACGACAAACAAACAAATACAAGAAATGGGCGTGGCTCTGCCCCTGGGGGTTGGGCATGCACCCCAAATGATAGGAATGTTCCTTTGGGTACAAAGAATAAGTATGCAAAGTTTCAAGATGATAAGTTAAGAAATGCGGCCTGTAGACGACAAACAAACAAATACAAGAAATGGGCGTTCCTCTGCCCCTGGGGATTGGGCATGCATCAAAAACAATAGGGATCATCCATAGGGTATAAGGAATTCATACAAAATTTTTTCAAGACAATCGATTAAGAATTGTGGCCTGTAGGCGGCACACAGACACACGCACAAACCATTGTTGAATTTAGTAAGCTCTCCCAAGAGAAATGGCATCTACTATCCTACTCGGAAATAGCCCATGCCAGCCTACATCCTCCAAAAAAGCCGATCAAATCATTTAGAAGGCTGATATGTTAGTAGAAATGTTACGATACAAATAATTGGGCTTTCAATGACTGATCTCGACTGAGACATAAATGATATGTCACTTGCAGGATATTCTTTGAACAATTTTTAATCGAAATGGATTCACATTTAAGAACTTTTGCATAAAACGGCTATACAATTTTACAAGATTTAGTCCTGAAGGATCCCAAATTTTTTATATTAATACAACCAGCGGCTGCCAGGCAGGATACGCCCACATTTTCGAGAGATGGATAGAGAACAAGCTAACAAGAAAGTGATTTTTCCTACAATCAAGGGCCATAATTCAGGAAATTACAATTCGATATGTGCAAATATCGAAAAGGAACCGAGATCTCTGGGTTATAAACTTACATTGCAAGTTTCAACAAAATCGGATAAAAATTGTGACCTCTATAGGGTCCACAACCTTGATATACCATATTTTTACGCAATTTGAGAACGAGGGGCGGCCGGGAATATTTTTAATCGAAATGGATTCACATTTAAGAACTTTTGCATCGAACGGCTATACATTTTTATAAGATTTAGTCCTGAAGGATCCACAAATTTTTTATATTAATACAACCAGCGGGTGACAGGCAGGATACGCCCACATTTTCGAGAGATGGATGGAGAACAAACTAACAAGAAAGTGATTTTTCCTACAATCAAGGGCCATAATTCAGGAAATTACAATTCGATATGTGCAAATATCGAAAGGAACCGAGATCTTTGGGTTATAAACTTACATTTCAAGTTTCAACAAAATCGGATAAAAATTGTGACCTCTATAGGGTCCACAACCTTGATATACCATATTTTTACGCAATTTGAGAACGAGGGACGGCCATTTTGTCTGTCAGTTTTGGGACGATTTTTACGAAATTCGAACTCAGCCGTCCTTAGTGTGTAACGGTGATATCATAATACGTTTTTTTAAATCGGATAAAAATTATGACCTCTATAGGGTCCACAAGCTAAAAACGCGATTTATCGAACAATCAGGGGCCATAATTCAGGAAGTTACGGTCTTATATGCGCGAATATCGAAAGGAACCGAGATCTTTGGGTTATAAACTTACATTTCAACGGCTATACAATTTTATAAGATTTAGTCCTGAAGGATCCCAAATTTTTTATATTAATACAACCAGCGGCTGCCAGGCAGGATACGCCCACATTTTCGAGAGATGGATAGAGAACAAGCCAACAAGAAAGTGATTTTTCCTACAATCAAGGGCCATAATTCAGGAAATTACAATTCGATATGTGCAAATATCGAAAGGAACCGAGATCTTTGGGTTATAAACTTACATTTCAAGTTTCAACAAAATCAGATAGAAATTGTGACCTCTATCTCTTTAGGGTCCACAACCTTGATATACCATATTTTTACGCTATTTGAGAACGAAGGGCGGCCATTTTGTCTGTCAGTTTTGGACCGATTTTCACGAAATTCGAACGTAGTCGTCCTTAGGGTGTAACGGTGATATGATAATATGTTTTTTTAAATCGGATAAAAATTATGATGTACCATATTTTTACGCTATTTGAGAAAGAACGGTGCCCATTTTGTTTGTCAATTTTGATCCGATTTTCACGTAATTCGAACGTAGTCGTCCTTAGGGTGTAACGGTGATATGATAATATGTTTTTTTTAAATCAGATAAAAATTATGACCTCTATAGCGTCCACAAGCTTAAAACGCAATTTTTCGTACAATCAGGGGCCATAATCCAGGAAGTTACGTTCTGATATGCACGAATATCAAAAGGAACCGAGATCTTTGGGTTATAAACTTACATTTCAAGCTTCAACAAAATCGGATGAAAATTGTGACCTCTATAGGGTCCACAACCTTGATATACCATATTTTTACCCTATTTAAGAACGAACGGCGGCCATTTTGTCTGTCAATTTTAAGCCTATTGTCACAAAATTTGACCTCAGCTGTCCTTAGGGTGTAACGGTGATATAATAATACGTTTTTTTAAATCGGATAAAAATTATGACCTCTATAGGGTCCACAAGCTAAAAATGCGATTTTTCGTACAATCAGGGGCCATAATTCAGGAAGTAATGGTCCAATATGCGCGAATATCGAAAGGAACCGAGATCTTGGGGTTATAAACTTACATTTCAAGTTTCAACAAAATCGGATAAAAATTGTGACCTCTATAGGGTCCACAACCTTGATATACCATATTTTTACGCTATTTGAGAAAGAACGGCGCCATTTTGTTTGTCAATTTTGATCCGATTTTCACGTAATTCGAACTCAGTCGTCCTTAGGGTGTAACGGTGATATAATAATACGATTTTTTAAATCGGATAAAAATT